CGCACGAATAAGGGTCATGCACCGGTCATGCACCTGGTTCCCGCGCACTCGCGCCGCTGCATCGCCGCCTCGTCATCGCGTCGTCGTCGCGTCGTCGTCTCGTCGTCGCGTCGTCGTCGCGTCGTCGTCTCATCGTCGTCTCGTCGTCGCGTCCACAAAAGTATCCACAGAAGTATATCCACAAATGTATCCACACGGGTAACGACAATCCACACCGGCATCCTCACCCGTCGTCGCCGCCCCGTCGTCGCGCCGTCGTGTCATCCGTCGCCTCCTCACCGGTATCCTCACCCCCGGGCCCTCACCACGGATGCTCGTCGTCGCGCCGTCGTGTCATCCGTCCCCGCCTCTTTCCTCAACGGTATCCTCACCCCCCCCGGCCCTCACCACGGATGCTCGTCGTCGCGCTGTCGTGTCATCCGCCCCGCCCCGATCGATCCTCACCGCTATCCTCACCCGCCGGCCCTCACCACCAGCGCTGGTCGTCGCGTCGTCGCCATAAGAGCCCCGGTCCTGCCCGATATGCTCCTGGTATCCTTCCACGCGGCTCTGGGGTAACATTTTGGGGTAACACGGCAACATTGGGGTAACGCGGCCCTGGGGAACATTTGGGGTAACAGAAGGCACCAAAAGGGGATGAAGGCTGGCGAGGCGCACGTCTTCGAGGCTCCAGAGCTCTAAGCCTAGCGCAAGCGCCAGGCACGCCCCCAGCGTCTGCCGCTGGACCAACGGGCACCGTGGGAAGTGCGGCCATGTTCTGCTAGCTTCGTTTCCCTGAGAAGTTTTTTATGAATGCGACCGCTGCCAACTGGTCAGAGCTACAACTTCCTCGAACTACGTTTGTTCAGAAGCGACCGTACAAACATGGCCTGAGCTAGAATTACATCTGCTCAGAAGCGTACGTACAAGCCTTCTCCGCTCAAAAAACACAAGTTACGTCGCTAAGCTCCTCGCCCTTGACAGATCTGTGCCAACCCAAACTACAGACAAGACGTCAAGATCAATGCGAGCCCTACAGGGTTCTTTTTGAAGGAGAGGTGGGGGGACCTTTCGGACGCCTCGGAGGAGTTGAGCTGCTCCACGGCGGCTTCATGCCGAGGATGTGCATGATGGACTGACATCGGGAGGGGACGAGGGTCGTGAAGGGCGCTATATAGTTACGGGAAGGGGGAGAGATGCAGACACAAACGCTCCTGTGCAAAAAGGCTCCTAGCATCAAACGCAAAGGCTGCTTAGGGTAACCTGGAGACGGGCTCTTCCAACAAATCCTGCCTTCACTATCAGCAGGCAGCGCTGCGGGAAACTATTACCAAGACAGTGCCCTGCCCTTCGACACGCCTTAAACCCTAAACTCAAGAGGCTGTGGACCCCGAGCCCGAGGCATTCGGGTTTGATAAGCCTTAGGATGATGGCATCCGATGCATAAGTATTGGTGATGATTGAGGCTTGCGAACGCCAGCCTTTTTCCCCAAACCCTCAGAAGCCTAATGCCCTAAAACCCGAAAACCGAAATCTTGTAAACTCAAGAAACAGAACTGATGCCGCTGACTTTCTCCCGGATATCTCCAGCTGTACAGCAAGTTCAAAGTTCTGCGCCTTCCACTGCGTAGGCATGCAGCTTCTGCAGAATCTGCCCAGCAAGCAAACAAATCAACAGAACACTGAGAAGCCAGACTTTGGC